AATATGTTATGTATGTTATGTAATGTATGGTATTATTATGAATTTTAAGTCTTTTATTAATGTATTGTGTCTTATTGTGTTATTGTTACGTGTACTATAGTAATAAATGTACGCTATGTAATGTATGGTAAAACAAGCAATGTATGGTATGTAATGTATGACTATGAAGGTTATATTGTGTCTTAGTGTGTTTTTGGTAAGTGCCCTGTAGTAATAATGTTATGTAAGTTATGTAATGTATCTAAAACAAATAATGTATGGTATGTATGGTATGTAATGTATGGTTATGCATGTTGTGCAATGTAATGTTCTGTATAGTAAACATGAAATTTCATTTAGGTTTCTTAAAGCGACGCGTATCAAAGTAACAGTGTTATGCATCGTAACAAGTAAATGTAATGCACCTGAGTAATGCAAATATAAAATTCTTAAGCCTCGTTTAGAAGTAAAATAGTAATGTCTTAGATGGATTAGATATAGTCATATTATGTTAAGCAAGATCAGAATATTAATATAATCAAGAAAGACCACATACCAATGCATGGAATCCATTGTATGTATAATAAGCATGTAAGGATGTATATCAAAATGTAAACGCCTTTGTATGGCCATGTAACCATGTCAAGAATTGTATGAAGGCCAAATAGAGCCATTAAGCCCCTGTATGGCCATGTAACTTCTTACATTAGATCAAATAAATACTGAGGCCTGGGCGGATGGATGTCTGTGCAGCAAGTGGGTTTTTCCCAATTTGGTTGGCAGAACTGCAAGTGGTACAGACTAGGCTATGAGTCTGGGGGCCCGGGGCGGCGCGCTGGTGTGGCCCCATGGGTTTTTTTCTCTAGATAGTTGCGGGTCCTGGACAACACCCGAGTAGTCTTTGCAAAGTAGTGAGGGGTGTCCAGGCCTGCAGTCACCTGTTACCTGTCACACCAAAAGCAGAACATGGATGCGCAGCAAATAGAGGTGCTGCTTCCCAAAAGCAGCATTAAAAGAACAACTTGGAAGGATGCTCTAATCCACTGGCAAGAGGACTGAGATTCCATTCCACAGGGCAGACGCACGTACAAGTTCTTCCACAGGGTCAGTACAGACAGGTTAATTTCAGACCCGCATATAACGCGCTTCGTAACTGGACACGAGCCATTTCCCAGTTACTTTTATGATAGGCACCTAACAACTACCAACGTCTGTGTATGTGGAGATGTGGGCAAGTCTGATCATTATCTAACATCATGCCCACTCCCAAGAGACTTCCACCACGCTCTGCCAATTACAAATACAGCCGCCTACAAAAGATTCATGGTCAAGTAACCTTTAATACATAGGAAAATACGACTAATGATGCAAAAACTCGAAAGCGCTAAGCACTGAACTCTGCAGTGCGGAACACGGTCTCATCTAGCCATAGGAGTCCTAATCCTTCATGAATATTAATATCTTTATACCAGTTTAATGCAATGCAATGTCAATGCATAACTTTAATGCTCAATCTAATCAAATAGGGAAATGCACATTTTATGTTATGCATATATTAATGTAATGTATGTATGCATGTGCTATTATTGTATAATGTATAACGATATATATATAGTTATAAGTTGTACGATTTTGCACTGGTATATGTCTGTAGAATTTCGAAAATTTTTATTATTGTAAGTACTAATATATCCAGTGCACCTATTAATGTATCGAATGCATCTTTTTTGTAAAGTTTTTTAATGTGTTAATGTAATGTATGTGTGCTGTATTATTTATGTATATAGTTATAAGCTGCATAATGTGCACTGGTACAGCTTTGCAGTATGTCTGTAGAGTTTAGCAAATTTTATTATAGTATGTATTAATATATCGAGTGCACTTTTAATGTTTATTATATTATGTAATTATATTGATATATCGAATGCACCTTTCATGTTATGTATGTATCAATGTAATGGACGTGTGTATGTGTTATTAATGTATAATGTATATAGCTATAAGTTGCGTAATGCGCATTGGTATTGCTCTCCAAAATGTCTGTAGAGTTTAGGTACTGTTTTTAATTGTATGGCTTAAATCGAGTGCACTGTTAATGTATAGTGTATTAATATATCGAATGCACCTTTTATGTTATCTGTACATTAAATATATTGTATATATGTAAATACAATGCGCATTGATACCGCTCTGCAATGTCTGTAGAGTTCAGAAAATTTTATTATTATACGTATTAATTTATCGTCTCTGCGTCGACTGTTATAATAGTGCATTATTAATTTATAATGTAATACGATGCACTACTATTGTGGTAATTCAACATATTAACAGCCCTTTTTGATGTAAGTATCTTTGTAATGATAATAAGCATTGTTATTGTAGGAATCCGCAATACCCTGTTTTCCTCCATCTGCCCCTGTTTGCAATATTCTTTTTCTGGACAGAGCCCACCAGCGGCCGAGCAGTAAAATCGCTGAACACTGGTAGTTCGGTCCGAGGTTCGAATCCCGCGAACGGGCTGGCTGCATGGGCGTTTTCGTGGTTTTCATCATGTGTAACGTGCATACGAGCCAGTTTCCCTTAGAAAGTCCTCCACGAAGGCATCCCTCCTCTTAGGCAGGTAGCTCTCGAGGCTTTGCCATAATCACACACGCACACACTTTTTCTGGACAGTTACGGGATTCGGAAGATACCCGAATAGTCAGTGAAAGCCGCCCGGGAGTCCGGACCCTGCTCTCACCTGTCACCACCTGTCACACCAAAAGCTTAACTAGTCGATATTACAAACTGAAAAGTAGTTTTCAAAAGAGAGGGCTTACCTTTTCCTTTTATTGTTCCCTTGTCACAAAACTATCTTTCACTAAGCACAAATTTGTCTTTGAAACCTCAAAAGATTACTAACAAAAAATATTTGTATTTTTTATTTATTTCTCTACCTCTATCTTATTTTTTAAAATTTTTGGTTCGGTGTCCGTTAATATGAGGTACGACTATGTCCGTAAATATGAGGTCCGTTAATATGAGAAATACAAGAAGGTCTGTATTCAAAGTGAGAGGGAACAACAGAGTTGTCCCTTAAATAGAGGTGTCCTTTATAGGATGTACTACTGTATTTCTATTTGATATAATCCATTAATTAGAATGGCTGCGCTAAAATATGTAGTTTTACAGTTAAAAGTTATTAAGAGGTAATAATTAATACCTTCAATAGACTAAGATCGAGAGGTTTCGGATTTAATTACAGTCGAAGCGTTTTTGCAGCCTATACTTTTACCGTTAGAAAGTTAAAATAACCTATTTAAATTTACTATAATTATTTTATATATTTAATACTTCTGCTTTACTTAGTTGCAAAACAGAAAAAAGAACTTTTTTAAAAAAATTTACCAATAACTAACCCATACTATTGCAATATAAATGTTTAAGTACGATGATAATAGTTTATAAGTTATTAACATGCAAGAGTTAGTTTCAGAAATTTATTTTATTTAAAACTGTGACGTAAATATTTGTTTGTTCACGTAATTGATTTCAAATTCTGCTTCGTTCCTTCTGGAGCTCAAAATCTTTCCATAAGAAATGCGAGAAGAAACTACAGAACATGTGAATCCGTTGATTGAATTTTTCTTTCTTTAATAGTTTAAAAATAGAAGTTGTCCGGAAATGCACACTGGAGTTAGCAGAAATGGAAAAAAATAGTTGCTCTAAAAGGCTATGTCAGTTCGTGTACACAGCTATGGAGCAGTGGATCTTTCAATATACTGAAAGAACGTGTAAGTCTAGAAACAGTGCTAAGTTTGTAAATGATGCTTAATTTGTGAGGGTTTTTAACTGAAAGTTAATTGTGCCGTTTTTTCATTTAATTTAAATTTAAGTTTGTTAACATTCTCTTGTGTATCAATTTATCTGAATATTGCCATTGCAAGGAAGAATTTGCATTTTGCATAAACAGCTATATCAATGTTATTTTAATTTAAACATTAAGAATTATTTAGGTTTTTGAAATTGATGGATCTGGCTTTTTGCTAATCCTATTGTGTCACAGAAATTATAGATACTGGTGGAACTGCTCTTTTAAGAAAGAGAGGGAAAAGTATAATGATAGTTATTTATGTGAGATAGTATTTTAAGCAGCCCTGCAGTCTTTTAATTAACGCTATTTTAAGTGACGCTGCAGGACTGCATTATAGTAAGATATAATTAAATAAATGAAAGATAGTGTAAAATTTATGAAACTTCTAAAAGGAATTAAATTTAGCTTTATAAGGTATTTCTTCCGCCTTCTTAGCATGCCTTTGTGGTGTAGTGGTTAGCACGTTCGGTGCGCATTCGAGAGGTGCGAGGTTCGAGTCACGACAAGGGCATTGCTCATTTTTTATCTCTTCTGCTTCAAAAGCAACCTAATGGCTCTACAACTTAAAATAATGATTTAATAAAATTTTAAATTAGTAAATAATGAATAAAATTAATAAATAAATCTTAATAAATGTTCAATATGTTAATGGAAATTTAGATGTAGAATTGTGTTAAAATAAGGAAAAAATTAAGGATGGGGTTAACCTTAAGCGTAATTGGACCACACCGCAGTGCACAACGTGTGTGCAATTCGGTATCTGAATGGAAATGAGTGCAGTGTTTGACAAGTTTCTGCTTATTTGAGCAGGACTTAGTCATACCATTACTATCTAGGAAGAATTAAAAGCACAAAGAAGCAACTTAAAACTTGTTCTTAAATCTACGATAATTTAAGTTTCATTTATTCCTTTATTTTTCCTTTTGATTTCTTAATTTTATTTTTTTTAAAACCTTAAAGTCTTTCAATAAGAAAAATGAAAAAGAGAAAGTTAATTCTCTTGAAACGTTTTATAAGAGAAAGTTAATTCTCTTGAAACGTTTTTATAAGAGAAAGTTAATTCTCTTGAAACGTGTTTATCTTACTTTCTATGTTAAATATTCTTTGAACAATTATTCAGATTAGTTTAAAAAAGAGAGATATGTGAATGCAATTAACTGTACCTCACCTCCAAGAACCCGCGTTGTGCTGTCAGCGTATTTGTACAGCATCTCCATCGGTCGAATACTGGTAAAATGAATTTTCTTTATTTCTCTAAATATGGACTGAGCTAGTTTTTCTTCTTCTTTGTCATATTCCGTTCCAATTTCATCCAAGCCTAATATAACATCGATGTGATCTCGGCTGCGGAATGTCAATCCCGAAGACGAGTCGTCCTCATCCTCCTCGTATATGTTCTCGATCGTGTCTTCGTCTTTTTCTTCCGTTTCGTCGCCAATTTCGGATCCTAGAATATAAGATTTTATTGTCATAAGTTTCCAAAACAAGATTTCTAATAAAGTTTCAATAGCAAGTGCTGAAAACCAGATTGCCATGAAGATTTTAATAACAGGTGCTCCAAACAAAAAGTATTAAATTAATTTAGATGGATATATGTGATTCCGTTTTGTTTTCTTATAAAAATAATATAAAATGTTGTGCACATTACTTTCGTTTAATTTATCAACCTGTTTTACATACGAATAATATACCACTATATATCATTTGGCAAATACGCAGTTTATATAAAAGTATTTATGAGCTGTATATAAGGGTATTCTTTATTTATTCCTTGAATTATTCCTCATGCATAGCAAGCAATTACCTTTTTAACCTGACTTATACGGATATCGTAGAAAAGAATTATCAATGTTTTTCATCGCCGAATTTCTTTTCTCTTTTCTTGTTTTTATTTATTTAATTCATTTGGGGGGGGGCGAGTGAGTGGGATTACCATCATGGCATCAAAATTTTCTGACTTTTTGGAGATCACATAAATATATCGCTAAATAGAGTTCGTGTTCAGTTTTAGAAAGGCAAGTTTCTGAAATATAATTTTTGCGTTAGAAGATTTTGCATGCCGAAATTTTGATTTCATATAACCATCGGTACAAATGCAAAAATTTCAAATTCTGCATTTAATGAAATTTAGTTTCGTAAAATCCTTAAATCGATGTTCATTTCTTAGTGCGAAAGGAGTTTTTATTATAATTATGATAATTTGTTTTCATTGCCAATTTCGAGTATTGGGGACCGGCTTTACCTAAAAGAACTCAACCAAGATAAGGAATAATCTGTTCCTAATTAGAATTTTATTCATAAACGGCTCATATAAAAATTTCAGTTTTTCCCCCTAAAGAGTATCATACAATTAAGACTGTGTAGTCTGGAAGCCTATTTTTATTTACTTCTTAAACTCGAAACTGTGCGTCTGCGTTCAACCGTTCAACAAATATTTAATCTTGCAATCTTCCTTTGAACATCTGGCATGCGAAAAGGCTAACCAAAAAAAGGGGGGTTACAAGCTTTATTTTTTAAAATATTCATCCTACATATGCACTTTCAATTACACGCGTCTCTCAGAACAACATAGACAGTTTTATAAAAGCAGCCTCAATATGCGAAGGGGGGTTTAGTAATTATAAAACATTATAAACATTATTTTCTTACCATCCCGTAAAGCAAAATTTAAAATCAGTAAACTGCTCAATATGATTTATTAAGTTAAACGTAAAAAATTTTTTATACATTTACGTGCAAAATTCTCAGAGATTTATTGTATATTATTTACATTTTTCATACGGCCAGCAATAAATTCAATAAGATACGCTGTTTTACCAAAACTGATGATCGGTGATAAACAATTGGGATATGGCGTAAATCAGCATTCCGATCTCGAATATTTCCACGAATTCTGCAGGCAAAGTAGCAGAAGTTTTTGCATTTAATTTATCAAAGGATAATGAGTATTTTACTAACTAGAACTCTTGCTACACGGAGCGTTTGCTTTTACACTTAGATAGCCCTTCTATGCAAACTGTTGAGACTTATTTCTTAAAACTGTCCGCCTTGTTTTGAGAAAATCTATAATTGGTAGCAAGGTCCCATTTTTTAGAGGACACAATAAATATTGCACATGAATTGTAAACAAAGGCCGTTAATCTCTCTGATGAGTTATTTTGAGAAGGTATAATACTGAATAAACAATCATGTAAAAATATTTCGGAGTGTTCGCTGCTTTAATAGTATATCCTTCCCGAAGAATTGCGGGTCTTAGATAATTTTGTCGCTACCAATAATCAATACTGTCTTGTGAAAACAATATAATTCTGTATAAATTAAAATCAGGTCATTCAGTGACTTATTACAATTTCCATGTGCATTTTCAGTTATTTCTTTAAATGTCTTAATTGAGAGATCTGCGTAAATGTTGCCTTAATTGTATCTCTTTCTTATATTAAGAGTCGTTCCAAATTAAGTAAAGAAAACTCTAAAATTTTGCAGCTGAAAATTTTCGCTCTCGCTCTATTCCTAAAATAGAAATTCGAATTTCTTCCATTTACCACTAAAGGCACTGCAAACATTTTGAATCGACAATACAGAGTCGCCTTTATCTTAGAATCTGTTTCAAAACATTCCTGCCTAAGCTGAAAGGATATCTAACAATTTAATTGGTATTATGTACTTACACATGTACATAATAAATTATAGACAAAAAAAAAGTAGTAAAATGCGCAGCGCCTTTCAAAGCATCTGCATTTTCACTGCAGCAGCAGCAAAACTCTTCCCCAATCGCTGTGCAAGATTAAAACAATGCGCTTTTAGATTATAAATACTCCGTCTATACTATATGCACTCTTTTTGCTGCTTGCTAACGCTTGAAAAAAGCCACGTCTCACGCTTGGCTATGTTTTTCCATTGTTAAAAAATGCAACTGCATAGCTTAAAATTGTGGAGTGCAGATTGCCTTTATTGTGCTGTGGCATACCAGAAGATGTGCCTGAGCGCAGTAATCAAGTAATAAAGATATGTTCCGTTTGTTAAGTGATTTTATAATTCTTCAAAAGTTTCCGTCGTCTTCTCTAGCCAAGTAACCAACTCTGTACTTAATTCGACGTACTAACAAAATTATTGCATCTTATAGTCTGACAGGATTAGGACCTGTCTTGAAACCACTCTGGACATTCTCGAAAAATAATTAGTGTCTTCCCTAGTCAAGCAGTCTTCTAATATCAAATTATCTGCAGCAAACTAAATTATCGTTATATATATATATATATATACGAGTTATATATTTCTTATAATAAAATTAAAATTTCTTTAATCCAAGAATTCTTTTTTTTTTCAGCTAAGAGATTTCCCGTTATTTAAATTCAAAATACAGAGATAAACAGAAAATGGGATTCCCATCATTGGAATTAACTCTTTGTGGACTGCCGCTGCATATCCGCACCAAATAAAAACTCACTTAAGATGAGAGGGAGTCGCGTATTGCGGCGGCGGAAGTGTACTTACGTTAGAAGAAGAGCGCGTTATGCGAGTTCCTATGCAGAACGTTTGAGTGCCGATAATAAATAAGATTTCTCGCCCACTTACACATGATAAAATGTATTTTTTAATTTTTTGATTTTCGGAAAATATGAGCTATTCATTTTATGTTACTTTTTAAAAATAATTTGAACCTTTTTCGACATTAGAGCATATGTTTCTGAAAAGTAAAGAAAAGTTTCTTAAAAAGTGCTGGGATATAGACTCCCATCTGGGACAGATGCTATTTTCTTTAGTGCTAGTTTTCCCTTGTTTTACTGTATTTTTTAAAAACTTCGTTCCGCTTTTTTCCTTACTTTCGGGGGGGGGATAATTTTCGATTAAACAAATTTTAAAATCGCAATAAATATGTAAGAATGAAAGAAAGGTTAAAAATTCTTGGTTACGAGAAGAAATTTGACTTTCATCATAACAATTGTAACAATCACGTAGCTATGAAAGTGTAACAGACAGTGAAGAGCGAAGATTCCTGGACTTCATCTTTGAATTAAATGAAGGCATCATAGCTCAGAAACAATTTCATATATAAGAATTATGAAGGCTGATTGCCATAACAAAGGATCTCATTCTTCATCCCTCTCTTGAAGCTTCAAGACTGAATTCTTGCTTTAGGCCTGAGTTATGTTTTACGTGTTATACAGCAAAATATGTGGTAAATTAAAGTGAATATACTCCAGTTATTATAAAAGAGATAACTTATTTTTAATCTTTCTCCTTTAACAACGGGAGTAAGAAAACGTTTATACTTATATTAATAAATAGTGTATTATTATCTTTAATTAGTGTAATTATTAAAAATAATTATTTCACATTTAAAATCGGGATTTTTGCAGTTTCTGTAAATAAGCGACAAATTTAGCCGCCCATCAAAGTGAAATAGTTCTTTATTCTTTCCCATAGCTGCATAGAACTCTTTTTTTTCCTCAAAGTAAAGACACTGATCTCTTTGGTGTGCTATGGAAGTCCACCATGATCTTGTTATGCATATTCATTTTTGGAGTAATTATTCAGGGTTCTTTTAGTTCCGACGTAACCGCTGGATGGACTCACGGAACTTCTGATTTGGAATCTACCATACTTCTGTCTCTGCGATAGCAATTTCTCCGGGTACCGAAAAAATCACTCCGGCTGTTGTATCGCACAACAGATAAAAAAAAGGGGGGGAACTACAAGTACTGAGATCGAGGAAATATGAGGATGAGCCAAGACTACGTTTTCATGCTTCGCAAGCTCAAATTGCTCAAGAGTGATGCTTAGGATCGTTATCATAGAGAAGGAACTGATTCCCGTAGCATCCGCAATCTCATCAGTTGCATGGGAATGACATTCAGGGATGATTTGTTTATCTTCTACGATTATTTTATTTTTCTGGCTTATACTGGATACCCCGCATCACTGCCATCTTCAACATATTTCCTTCCTACAAACAGCAATTGGTAATTATCTAACGATAGTGACACAACTCATAGCTGATCTGCATTCATATAGTGGGTTGCTTGAAGAATTTCAGTCGTTGAATGGCTTAGCTTTTGACAAAATTTAATATTTGTACGCTGTCTAATTTCCGAAATATCTCCTTAGCAACTTGCGCATCATCACTCCACACATCAACTGTATTTCTGCATTAAACCTTTATTAATCAACCATGTATTCTCTGAGATTCCACAGAATCGTAAATTCTGGTGACAGCATGACATCTGAAAACTTCATACACTGTCGCCACTCGGGATCAAGGAACTTATTGACTCTTGTAATATATTTGTAATATAAAGTATGTATAGCTTTTTGGGGATGATAAATATAAATTTGCACCTAGTAAATTATAAAGTATTATATTAGTAAAATTATAGAGATTTAAATCTGTGCTATAATATTCAAATAGTTCGGAAAATGAATAAATGAGATTGTGTGTGTGTGATTATTATCCTTCCTTCCATATTCTGATTTAGATAAATATATTTACTTCTAAATTTTAGCTATAAGAACGAGCATTTTTGTCCAGAATTAAGTTTGTTTCAATTAGAAGGGAAGATTAAAAATTGCACGACTTAATATCTTTTGAACAGTTGTTTGAGAAATGAATCAAATAAGCTAAGCCTTTTGATAAAGACAGTTTTAATCATGCGATGCTATTTAGAAAAAAACATATAAAAATTAAATTTGATTTGGGGCTCCCACTGAAAAAATTATCAGTAAGAAAGTTTTTTTTTTTTTTTTTTTTTTTTTTTTTTTTTTTTTTTTTTTTTTTTTGTAGTCGAATTAGTCTAACAAAAAATACTCAATCTCACAGATTAAAAATTACCGGAGGTACTATTAATCAACGTTTTTCAGAACCATATAAAAACAGTGCTTAGAAGAGATATGCGTGCAAATTTTCAAACGCAAATTTCTAAAAGATACCTTTTATATCAGATAAAGATGAATGCAAAAGAAGCATAGATTTCAGATTTAATTTCTAAAAAGAATAAAATTCGAGTTTTCGAAATTTCACCAAACTGCAATTTTTAAATCGTTTCCATAACGACGATGCACAATGATTTCGCCACTTTAGTTTTACTCTGAATGACTGCAGATAAATTGTATGCCCAATTCTATTCCAGTTTTGAACACGAATACCACGGGGAGGATAGAAATCGAAGGTATCGTATTCCTTGTCCCCTACCACTTGTCCCTCCATCCTACCACCACCACTACTACTACTACTACTACTACTACTACCTTAGGAGAACTTTCGAATCAACAGATTTTAAATGTCTGTATTCCTAAAGACACGTGTACTTTATCTGGTTTTTGATCCTGAACTAAATAGTATGCCACTATGTCGCCCAGGGCATCCCTTCATTTATATACAAATATACCATATGATATTCCGCTCTTGTGTATATGGATGACTATTCCTAAGCATATAATGAAAACTATATATTTTTTTAATTCAAGAACTCTTTTTAGAAAGAAATAAAACATCGATTTGTTTCATTTTTCGTTCTGAGGGTATCATTCCACAACTATTGGTAACTTTTCAGCTTCATAACTGCTAACTTATCAAACGAACGTTATTCGGAAATTTTAACTTTTATCAACATGGAGATGAATTTTAGTAATAAAAACGTTTTGTTAACAGATTGTAGCTCTGCTTTGCACAGGATCTTCTAAAGACGTTACTGCAGCCTTTAATTCTTAAGTACTGATTTTAAATTGGACTTCCTATTACAAAATGTTTCAAAATAAAGTTGATAATTTTATGAAAACAACTTCAGCAGTGGGCGTGGAAAAGTTTTGTTATGTACAGATTTTTAACTGTACTTAACAAAGTGCGAACTGGATTAGTAAAATATTCACCATGCTTTCATTAGTTAATTACATTAATTGAGTCATTAATTAAGTTGCGATAACTTCGGAGAAAAATGTTTGGAGATAATTGATTTACAGCATCAGCTATAGTGTCATAACGTGTGTTGCTTTAACCATTACATAATCATTAGCAAAACGAGCAAAATCCGTTTTCTAGTTGCTTTTTGTATTGGGGAGAAAAGTATTGAATTCCTGCTACTTGATATGTGTCTAAATCAGAAAATCATGCTCTTATATCTCTGACAATTTTGCACTTAAGTGTTAGCAGATTTTTGGTAACATATGAAAACGTAAAGAAAATTTAAATGCTGGACATTTTCCTTTCAAAGGATCATATAAGAACTTAAAATTTGTATTTATTAAACTGCAATATCTCTAATATTGTCTTCATAAAATTATCTGCCTTATTTTGAGAAATATTGCAACTGCACGTATACATCTATAACCAATGGTTAAGGAAATAAATTATGGAGCTATTTTGCAGATCACAATGCGAATACAGAAATAAAAATATCTACTTTGCTTCAATTCATATCACTAGCCTACAAGTAGCTGAGTGGGAAAGGCCATTAAACATTGGTAGTTCGAATCCTAGTGTATGGATTGGTTAGAATTTACCCATGCATAACCGTGAATATGAGCTGGTTTCCTTTAGAAACTACCCCAGGGAAGCATGGCTCCTTTTAGGCAGATAGCTTTCTCGTGCTTTGCCCTATCAGCAACAAACAAACAATACGTATAATATGACATTTCTAGTATTCTCTAATATCAGCTTGATCTTTTCAATGTTTGCCACATTCCGTTTGAAAAATTAAATTTAAAAATGGGATTCACACAATGAAAAGCAGATTAGTTATTTCACTTCTTGCGGCTGATCAAAGAATTAAGCTCCTTGTAGGAGAAACAGATGAGAATATTATAAATGCAAGATTTGTTAGAAGAACAGCAGATACGAAATGTAACGATGAAAAGGAAAATGCATATTACTCCCCTTTTTTATGTTTAAATGACAACAAGAACCAAAAGTAGTTTTCATGCCTATAATGCTATCGGTGGGAAAAGATTACAAAAGTCGCTTATGAGCTCAATAATACGTAAGTGTTACTGTGTGAGATTTCTATTAACAGTTTATTTCAGCTGTGTGTTTTAAGCAGTCTAATGACTATAAAACTAAATTTGAATTTTCACGGAATTCTTCCCTGTTATTTACTTTCCTCTTCTTTTATGTTTCTTTCGCACTCTGATTAAATACAACATTTCATTTGGGTTTCTTAAAGCAAACTAAAGTTCTCAAAGCAGGAGCAGAATTACATCTCTAGAGATTCCTGGCTTGAATTCAAGTATATAGTAGGAAAATTTTAAACTGAAAAAAAAAAAAAAAATTAAGGGCAAGATAAATTGTGTTCTTTTTATTGCGAAAAATTTCCTTTTTTTTTGTGTCCCAAACTTACCATTATAAGTTATTTAGGTGACTAAAAATAAAATCTTTGCTATTGGAGTAGCTAAAATAGATTTTAATATTGTCTCCTTTGTTGCTTCAGTGAGAAAAACCACTTTTAATATGCTTTCTCAGCGAATCATAATCTGTGATTCGCTGATTATTTAAAACAATAGCTCTGATTAATAGTTATTTTGAAATTCCTATATGAATTACAATAAATCATACTGCCCTAAGTTTGCTAAAAATGCTTCTTTGCACTGTCTGTTTTGTATATTTTAAGGTTTCCTGTACGACGTGACTCGGGCTGTTTTAAATATTTCAGTCTATTGGCACTGAAGTGTTTTTGAATTCTTTGTTAAATGTTTTCGATTTCTTACTTATGTGTTTTTTAATTCTTTATTAAATGTTTTTTAGTATCTTAATTCAATGTGTGTGATATTTCTCGAAATTTTAGCGGTGTAATTATTTTTCTCCTTGTAAAAATTTAATTTGTTTTTGAGACTTAATTTAAACTGCCAGATATTTTGCACAGCAATCCAAATTTTATTTTACTATGCAACACTGACAGTACCTGTTTCGGATTTCTGTGTTTCTTCATCTTCTTCTGCACCACTTTCATCTTTGCCCTCGGGAGTTGTTACGTCGAGGGTCTCTTCCTCAACTTCCGAGGCCTCGGGTTGCTCAACGGATGGTTCTTTTTCAAGAAATTCCGATGCCATTCCAACTGAAGCACGATCGGCCTCACCTGTAACCTTGGAGAAGCAAAAAGGAAACAAAACAAATGTATCCGAGAACGGCATGTAGGATTTTCTTAAACGAAAGCTCTCAATTTTAGAGAAAGTTCCTAATGAATTTTTTAGGATTAATGTGATTGGAACGGTGGAAAAATTTTTGAAAAGTGTTGTTAAAACATAAGATTTCAATGTTAAAACAGTGAATCAAAGAAAATTCTTGTTTTGTTACACATTTTAAAAATTAGTTACAGCTTATTTAATAATCGAATTAATGGGAGGTAAAGTTCTCTTAAAGTTTCAAATTTCTGCTAGAATTTAATTAAAATTTATATAAAAATTATTTATTTCTATTTATGATATGCTTCGTACTTAAACTTGCTGATAACACATGTTTTAACAGAATGCTTTTAGTTAAAAATAGTTTGGAATCCTAAAAGGTACTCAAAAATTATATTAAAGTGTTTCAGTCAAGTTCATCAAGTATTTGTACTCGTGTACTTTATTATTCAGATATAGTCAGCTATTAAAATGTGATCGGTAAAATTAATTTATAAATGCTCACATTTTTTCCCTAAATCTGAGTGAAGTATTTTTAACTGCCATTTTTTAGGGAAGTTTTTAAAGTGTTTAGAGTTTCTTTATATCCTTTCATTAAATATTTAATCATTAAATATGTATATTAATTCTAGACGTTTAGACCGATTATAATAACATCTTGCTGAAAGAACTTTTGAAACTGGTCTATGAGAATTAGCTCAAAATCAGAGCATTGCATTCAGCTTTAATGGTATAAAGTTAGTTTAACTTTAAAAGGTTTATTTGTTTAAGAATAATCTGCAGTTTTAAAATAAATTTATGGGTGTTATATTGTTGTATTTTTGATAACAGCTATTTCGCGTTAAACTATTTTATTACCTTCTCACTTTCCGCTTGCTGTTCATCAGGAGATGTGATTGTTTCTTCCCCCACGGTAGATTCGTTGGTTACACTTTCGTCAGTTTGAGACTCTTGCGGTTCACTTTCCTCTTCAGTCAATTCCTCCTCTCCTTCTTCCTCTTCTTCTTGTTCTTCATTTTCTTCCTCATCTTCATCTTCCTCTCCTTCTACTTTTTCTTGTGTTTCTTCCTCTTCTCCTGTCTCTCCTTGTTCCTCTTCTTCCTCTTCTTCTGCCTCTTCTTCTTCCTCGGTACCAACTTCTGCGTCGTGATCATCTTCTTCAGATTTTCCTTTTCCTACATCCTCTTCGCTTTCATCTTTATTTTCTTCTGCAGCATACTCAGTTTCAGTACCTTCCTCTTCTTCACTTTCATCTTCGTCGTGATTATCATGATCATGTTCTTCTGTTTCTTCTGAGGATTGAGCTTCGTCTGTTTCGTCTTTCCTTATTCCTTCATTATCAGATGTGTTGTTGTCTTCTTCTGTTTCATTTTCAAGGTCTTCTTCATCTTCCTCATCGTCATCTTCTTCACTCTGATCCTCATCTTCCTCAGTTCTATTAGAAACATCTTCTTGATTTCCATTTTCTTCTTTATTATTCTCTTCCTCATTTTGTTCGTCACTAAGCTCTTCATCTTGATCATCATCATCTTCTTCTTCATCATTATCACTGACTTCTTTCTCATTATTTACTGCACTGTGCAAATTTTCTTCATATTCTTCGTTTTCGATGTTTTCGTTTTGATTTTTGTTTTCAAGATTATTATTTTTCTTATCGCTTGGTTCCTTTTGTTCCCAGTATTGTTCTAAGGCTTTCTCGATGTGAACACGACATTCCTTGACAGAAGAAGGCTTGACCTCATCAGTGGGGGTCTCAGACTCCGCTAAAATAGCAGAAGTGCTGCAGTCAGTATCTAACTTTTTATGGTTTGTTGTTTATGAAGAAATCGCACACCATATTAAACTAAAAAGCAACACTTTTCTCGTCTAAATATGTATCTAAGATCAGAGCATATTATGCTGCTAATGAAAACAGACTAAAGCAAAGTTAGTTTATGGATTTTTTGTTTAAGCGATTCAATAAAACGCGCAAAATTATGAAAATTTAAAAAGGATTTTATAAATGTGTATTATCGTACAAGGCGTATTTAGTTCTGTTTAGCTATAAAGAAAACATGAAAAGATATTTTTAAAAGTAGACAGTACCATTATGTTCTTCGTTCTTTGAACTAATATTCAACATAATCTCAGCTGTTACTAAACAGTCGCTACACCCCACTAATTTTTATATCCCTGTCTCAGAGAAATGTGCCTCCTGTCCATTCATCTGCTCTGGAGCTTCACTCTCGAATCTCTGACTGGCGAAGAACGTCTTCGATTGGAGGGAAAGGTGAAAGTCACCGTAGCGTCAAGTCAAGGTTGTTGGAAGGACAATTCTCTTTTTCCGGACACAGAACATTTTTCTAGGCATTTTGTCTAAGATCAAAAACATCTACCTAATTTTATCAGATAAATGACCTCATAGCGGCTTGAATCTGAGCAGCGGGGCGTGGCTGGGCGCTATCATGAGTGTGTATTTCACTCTCATTTTAAATTACTCGACGGAAATAGTTTCAAACCTCTCTGTGGGTTTCTGCATTTATCCATTTTGCTTCAAGACAAAAACTTTCATAAGCAGAATTTTATGTCGGTCTCAAGGTGCTACTCATGTTATCTTCATGCTTTAAAACATAAATCTGACAAAACTCAAATGAATTGCTAAGAAAACGATTTCGAAGTATTTACAGTTCTCTTAAGGGGGCTATATACCTAAGATACCGAGATTTTGGTCAAGACACTCTTTGTTTTTCTTACGTTCGATGAAAGTCTTATTTCTCACGTTTCCAAAACTATTTGAATTTTGTTTCGACATTCATTTAAACTGGAGTTATAATAATCTATTTGACATCTTGTCCCCAAGAAGCATACCGATAAAATTTGAAATGTAGAAGTGAGGGTTTCAGAGTTTTTTTCTCTTATTTTAGGGCTTAAGACTTTATTTTAAAGTTGAAAAACTATTTTTATAATATAATGCAACGTTTACTCTACTATTCCTACTATTATTTTTGCAATAAAAGAAATGCAAAAGAGAGCTTTAACTGCCTTATTTGGCAAAGAATACCAAAAGAAATATTCGTCTGACTAAAAACAATCAAATTTTGAGTATACGATGCCGTCATACAATTCAATAATGGCTATAGAAACTACTTTTATATCTTTAGAAATTTAGGTACAGATATTGGTATACTACAAACGAGTATGAAAAGTTTGATGTTAACCGTGTCGACAATACAAAACGGCATTTCCTGACTCTTTAAAAAGCAGAGAAAAATTTCAAAAGCTGCGAGAAAGCAAAAGAATCTAAATTTCGAAAAAAAAAAGGGGGGGCATAAGTTATAAATCAGGAGAATTTCAAATTTCAAACTGATTAAAAATAAGTAATCGAATGTTTGAATTCTTTAAATGCGTTTATCTCGTTTTTCATTTTTCGTGTGCTAATGCTAACAAGAAACATAATATCTGTCAAAATTATGATTGAAATCCTATGAAATTCGATATGCATATTTCGAACATTTCATGCAAGGAGATAGACTATTTACTAATTGAAAAATGTATTTTTATAAAGTTATTATGCGTTAAATATTAATTTTAATGAGAAAATATTTTTGTTATATTACACGTTATAGCTTATAAGGTATTTCTCCCGCCATCTTAGCATTCTTTTGTGGTGTAGTGGTCAGAACGCTCGACGCGTATTCGAGAGGTCCATGGTTCGAGGCCCGGCGAGGGCATTGCTCATTTTTCATCTCGTCTGCTTTCGAAAATACCTAATGTCTCTACAGTGGTACCCGAACAAAAAATGGTGGTGGATCATGATTCTCCGCCAGTAGGATTTGGCGACTGGGTCAGCTAATCCCCAGTCGCTCTTTAAAAGGGGGAGTATATAAGGTATTTTCCCCGCCTTCTTAGCATGCCTTCGTGGTGTAGTGGTCAACACGCTAGACGCGTATTCGAGAGGTCCGTGGTTCGAATCATGGATTTTGTTCATTTTTTATCTTTCCTGCTTCGAAATTAACCTAACGAAGAAAAAAATGTCCTACATTTATTATTACGATGATTCTAATTTATTGCAAATATTGCTTTTTTTTTTTTTTTTTTTTTTTTTTTTTTGCTTGTTTTCTTATTTTACAACAAAAATATAAAATTAATGGTCATTAAATGACTCAGCGTCGTCATTGTTTTCAACATTAATTATTTTAAAGCCAAAAATAAATGTACAAACTAAAAAAGTTTTAAAAAAATTGCTCGAAGGTATACATCCCCCTCAAATATATTAAAGAGAGTATGGAAGTATTTTTGAGCTACAAAATTGTTCTTGTTTGTTTTCCGAGAGCCCAAAGAATTCACTGCGTGTGCACAATTTATATCACAGTATTTTATGTAAGCCAGACGGAACTTAGTTTCTAAATATGCCTCATACGATAAACTTGTATCAGTTTATTGTAATGTGCCTCATATGAGAAAAGATTTCATTTTACAAAACAAAAACAAAAACAAACAAATAAATAAATAAAAAATATCTACAAAAGCAAACAATTCTTTTTCATATTTTCTTTTAAATAGTTGTTAGGAAAATGTGAAAGTTAAAATAGTTGTTACTGAAGAAAATTAAATAGAAAAGTATATTTGTATACTTCTATAAACTGATATACCACACTTCAAGTCATGAAAATAAATTAAGAATTATCCTTACACTACAAACTCTTCGTTTAAATAATTGTATTACACTATACTACTTATTGACTGCTTATCGTTTAATATAGCTTTATACATCGTAAATTTAAAAAAAAAACATTGAGTATCCTAACGTATTTTAATGCAATAAAGAAACGTTTAATTTATATATTTGGCTGCGGTTTATAATGCGAACGAATTTTGTTGTTCGACATGATACAGCAATCGTTTTAAATATAAAAAAATCTGTTATTTATCAAAAGCTCCTATTATTAAAATTATTATTCGTATGAATGTATATACAGTGAATCTCGAGATACGAGCACCTCTATATACGAGAAATTCGAGATACGAGGAAAGTATGAAGGAAAAATTCGTCTCTAAATACGAGCATTGATTCGAGTAACGAGCAACGAGCCAGGCTGTTGGTATGAGCGGCGCGTTTCCCGATCCGGATCGACTCGGGGAATGCCCTGCTCAGATCATTCATTATTCTTTGATCTGCATGATTGTGTATTTGTGAATTAATTTTTTTTTACATTTAAAGTGAAAATAATTATTTTACGATGCCTCCCAAGAAAATTGCTGCCTCATATAGTGCTTCAAAGAAAAGAAGGAAGCCATGGCCCTTGAAATTAAGAAAGAAATCATAGATAAACATAAGCGTGGCGTAAGAGTGATGGAATTGGCAAAGACTTACGGGCATTCGAAATTACGATCTGCGCTATTCTGAAGAAGAAGGAAGAAATTAAGAAACTTTATGTGGCCAAAGGAGTTACCGTTATTTCCAAGCACCGCCCAAAACTCATAGAAGATGTTGAGAAGTTGTTCTTGGTGTGGATTAAGGAGAAGCAGTTGAGGCGATTCGGTGTCGGAAGCTATAATTTGCACTATGGGCTAAGGATCTGTACTTGGACCTTCCCCGAGAAACACCAGGTACGTCGACTGAAGATGAGATGGTAATGAGATTTTTGGGGGTGCGGAACGGATTAACCGGATTTCCATTATTTTGAAGGGGCAAATTGTTTCTAAATACGAGAAATTCGCTACACGAACTCAATGCTGGAACGAATTAAACTCGTATCTCGACTGTATAAAGTAATGCTAAATATGATGTTACCCAGTAAATATTTACACCATCACTGTTTATTTAAGATTCTGAAGTTGTCAAGTTCAATTAAAACTTTGACCCTAATGGCGATGTTTTATTGCCATTAGACCCCATCAGAAGGTCATCAGAAAGGCCCATAAATCACAAAACTTCAGCTAACAGTTAAAACTAACTTTATTTAACATTTAAAAAGAGGAAATCACATCTCGCAAGAGGCTAAATAATTAAACATGAACACACATCAGCCGATGCCAGACATCGGCCACGAACAGGCCAAAAAAAAGGTGAGAAGTAAGTAGCAAGTCTCGACAAACATGTTAAAATTTTTTATTCTTGCACTATCGCGATCACATATGCATATTGCGCAGCAAAAATGAACGTTGCCGCTCACTGCAATTGAGAATTCCTCCATAGTACTCCCCCCTCCACATGCCGGAAGCACAAGGGGTCAAAGATACCTCGAGTTAAACTTGACCCTTTTGCCAGAATGAGTAATATACGTTGGTGGTGTTTGGCCGGCACAGGTATTTCAACCGTGGTGCCCGATGAATTTATTGTAACAGTCTGCTCTAGAACGGAAATTGATGCTAGAGTGTCTGAAACTAAAAATGCTGGTTTCAGGCGGTCGATGTCAATCCCCGATTCCTTTCCTTTAATGAGAAGAGTAAAAGTTTTATTAAACATTTTTACTACTTTAAATGGGTCATCATACGGGTGACTCAGTGGTGGTTTCAGCGGAAACGTCCCTCACGAATACGTCAGTGCATGACTCTAACGCTGGATGCACGAAATACTAAATGTTAACATGAGCTTATTTTGTGAGTACTAAAGACATCTCTCTCATTGCGTCACAAAATTTGGTACTTTTCCGTTTCGCCGGCGCAAATCTCGCCAAACAGATTTTATTGGTGACAACATACAGTATACACATAAAAAATTTTAACAAATGTTAGTTCTAAGAATTTTTTATTTTGAAGGCATAAACATTTTAATATTGTT